GGTGGAAAATACAGGGAGTTATTATTGTTTCAAAGATACAAAGTTTCAGTTTAAAATGATAAAAATTTTCTCAGAAAAATAGTGGTGATGGTAACTGAACACTGTGTATGTGGCTAATTCCACCTGATTGCACATTTTGAAATGGTTAGTATAGCACATTATTCACAGAACTGTGAAAAATTGATTTCCATTATTTAATTCACCCAGGCTAAGGTGTTTGTTACGGCAGCTGAAGCCCATGAATACATCATCTGAACCAGTGTTTTCAATGACATATATCACTCTTTCAATCAAGTTAGCTGGAAGCTCCTGTGCCCAGAAGAAGCAGAGGTCCCAAAACAAGAGCTCCAGCAGGGGTTCAACCAGCACAGGTCCCATAGGGCAGCCTTGATGTCAGGCCCTGGATGGCATGTGAGGCTATAGTGATACAACCACAACGTGAAAGTGTAAGTGTTTTTACTACTTACAGACACTGGGGAGCACTCAGCACACCTGGAGACCACAGATACAGAGGTCAGTGAGCCCAGGCAGGGAGGAGAGAAGAGACCGGTAAGCCAATGTCTTTAGTCAGTTCAGGTGTTTTCTGAGAGGTTTGCAGCAGGGAGTTTTAATGGATGTGTTTAAAGCAAGCAGCAAACACTGGGACCAGGAGATCATGCTGTGACTGAGAAGCAGTCACTTTAAATGTGAGGGCAAATATCGGATTTATCCGTTTAAAGAAAGCAGCTGGAGAGAGGGGAGCCCAGCACACCAAGCAGAAGAGATGACTCTAAGATTTTATCTCTGGTCAACAACTGGACCCACTTGAACCAGATACAGTATGGAAAACTGCCATGGTGACCCAGGCCTGCCTCTGATGTGAGGCAAATAAACATACACCTTAAAAAATGAATGTCAAGGCAACATGACACTATGAGCACTCATGACATTCATGGACACTAGCAGGGTGTGATACCATGCCCTGGAGTCAGAATCCTGGGTTCTGGTCCCTGGGAATGAGAAAATGAAAATGACTTGTCCTTAATCCCCTGGCTTTGATCCTCCTGCCCTGGTGGACACCAAAGATGGTCAAGAAGAAATGAGAAACCTTGAGCCCCAGCTCAGCCACCAGACCCCAGGGAGTAATAGTGTGACTGAGAACTGTCTCTTTGATCATGGGACTCACAGTCCCTACTGAGCAACCAGCACAGGCCTCTCCTCCCAAGAGGCATGAGAGATTCACCCTGCACACCTCCAGGAAGGACACTTTCCTCTGGGACACCCAGGTCCTGAATGTCCATCCTTGGAAGCTGCAGTCAAGCTAGACACAATTAGAGAAAGGAAAGGTCCCTCTCACCAGGCGACACACAGCTCACCCACAGCACAATGGGGTGTACCTGTGACAGGAACCTGGTGCAGCTCCAGCCTCCTGCACTGAAGGGGAGAGCCAGATGGGGATGAAAGAGGGCAAAGGGCATGAATGTGCACCTCAAACCAGAGCCATTGGGACAGCAGGAGGCTGAGACCCAGGACTGTGCTTGCCCAACCTACAGGGTATGTGTGTGACTGTGTGTGTCTCTTTTGTGTGTGTGTTTGTGTTTCTGGACATAGTGTGCATTGAGGTTTGGTGACGGAATCACTGCTGAAAAAGACAGAGGCCTCCACAATTCCCAGGGACCTGACACACACACAAAAGGAAAAAGAGAAGGAGGGACAAGGAGGCAGGACTGAGAGGGGAGGGGACAGAGAGGTGTCCTGGGCTCAGACTCCACCCATGAGCCAGAGAAGTGCTCCTGCCCCGGGAAGAGGCCCAGCACAGAAGGAGGAAGGACAGCACAGCTGACAGCTGTGCTAGGAAAGATTCTGGATCCCAGGCTCATCTCCACACAGGAGAACACACAGGCAGCACAGGCCATGGGGCCCCTCTCAGCCCCTCGTTGCACACTGCATATCACCTGGAAGGAGCTCCTGCTCACAGGTGAGGAGAGAACTTCCTGGGAGAGGACAGGAGGAGGAAGCAGAATGATTGGATGGATTTTCCTGGAGAGGATGGGGTTCTAAGAAATAACAGAAGAAAGTACTTTGGGAGGCTGAGGTGGGTGGATCATGAAGTCAGGAGTTCAAGACCAGTCTGGTCAACACAGTGAAGCCCCATCTCTGCTAAAAATACAAAAAATTAACCAGGTGTGGTGATGTGCTCCTGTAATCCTAGCTACTTGGGAGGCTGAGGCAGGAGATTTACATGAACCTGGGAGGCAGAGGTTGCAGTGAGCCAAAATCATGACACTTCACAACAGACTAGGTGACAGTATGAGACTGTCCCAAAAAAAAAATAATAATAATAAAGGAAAGGAAAAGAAGAAACAAAAACAGAAAAGAAGGCTCTGTTGGAGCCTGGATAGGGGAAAATACACCAGAGAGGGACAGGGGTCAAAACAGGAAAATCACTTTGAACCGGAATTGGTAAGAGGTAGGAAAATCCCAAGTGTTCTGTTTTCCTGGTTAATCAACACTGGACACCACATTTTGAAAAATGATAATAATAACGATTATCAGATGACACTTGAAATGAAAATATAAGCATTGCATGAAACACTGTCCTCAGCCAAAAAACCTCAACAATTGGTGACAGAAAAAAAACACCCCAGGCATGGAGGGACCTGGGAACTTTCGCATCTACAGGAGTCTGCAGCCTGTTCCAGGCACTGGGGTGCAACCAAGATCCTAAAAGTCCCTTTCCTCAAGGAGCTCACGCTGTCATGGGAAGGAAGACAGACATGCAAAGAGATCTAGAATGTGAGGTCAGGTGTTGACAAGAGCTCCGGAGGGAGCAGAGCAGGGAAAGGTCAGAAATAGAAGACCCAGGGTCTCTGAAGGAGGTGTCAGGAAAGAAATCTAAGGATGCCCTGATGTGAGAAGGACCTGAGGGTGGTGTGGAGGGAGGCATGAAGATCCCTGGGGAAGAGGATTCCAAACAGAAATATGACAAGGTAAGAAGGGTTGAAGAAATGGGGGTCATGCTGCTGACCTTGACCCAGTAGGACAGTAGTTCACACACACACAAAAGGGGTGTATGTGTGTGTCCTACTGTCATACTGGGGTGCGTGTGTGTGTTTGTATGTGTGTGTGTGTCTTCAAGACTGATGATTGAAGAGATCTTCTCAGGACCCAGAGTCCCATTTTTCACCCCCGTACATACGTCGCAATATTGACTGATGCTCTCTCCACATCCTAGCATCACTTTTAATCTTCTGGAACACACCCACCACTGCCCAAGTCACGATTGAAGCACAGCCAACCAAAGTTTCCGAGGGGAAGGATGTTCTTCTACTTGTCCAGAATTTGCCCCAGAATCTTATTGCCTACATCTGGTACAAAGGGCAAAAAACGGACTTCCGCCATTACATTACATCATATGTAATAGATGCTGAAACAATTATAGTTGGGCCTGCATAGAGTGGATGAGAAACAGTATATTCCAATGCATCCCTGCTGATCCAGAATGTCACCCAGAAGGACACAGGATCCTACACCATACAAATGATAAAGCAAGGTGATAAGACTAAAGGAGTAATTGGACATTTCACCTTATACCGTGAGTGATTCCACATGATCCCTGGGTGTTGGGGGTTGGGAGTCCATTCTACTTTACACCAACAGGATTGTCAGGCCTAGACGGTGCCTGTGTCCCTCTCTGCATTATGTCGCATGTTGGTGTTTTGGCATTTAGTGCAGGACACACACAGAGGAGACAAACTATAACAGATCAGAATTCCTTTCCTGCCTCCAAACCCTGCAGACACTTGCTGCACAGGAAGGACAGTCTGAAGGGAGGGTGCTCAGCAAGAGATGAATCTCAGCCAAGCACCTCATGCCCTCTTC